TACCACAAAATCATTAATCCCTGTGACATTTGGTCGTATATAGAGTTCTATAGAGTTCTCTGCATCCCTCATTCGAGTATTAGTACAAAGTGGCGCCGGTAGTGTAGTGGTAAGCGCGAGTACATCTCACCCCAGCAGGCCTGGGTTCAATCCCAGTCAGCGCCGCCGGGATGTTCTAAGACATAACATCTCTGATCACGCCTTCCTTTGGAAGGGAAGTAAAGCCGTTGGTCCCCGGTTCATGAGTTGATGGGTCGATAGGCAGGGTCCAGGTGTGGAAGAGAACTACTTCTCTTTCCGAGGTAACTTCTACAAGCAGACGAAAGGACCTCCCTATCCCCCTTTCTGTGTGAACTTTTAATGGCCAACTTGGAGACAATCCTGAAGGAGAAAGGACTATTACCAAACCGTTGGTGGAGGTTTGTTGACGATACCTTCAGCGTAGTTAAACGGGAAGCCCTTCCACAAATTTTAGATTAGATCAACAGAATTCACAAGGATATCAAATTCACTCACGAGGTAGAAAAAGACGAGAAACTCGCATTTCTCGATCTTCTAGTGATCAGGGAATCGTCATCATCTTCCTCGCTTGAATACGAAATTTACAGGAAATCAACAGTAGCACCAAAAGAGTTATCCCCTATACTTACAACCATTCGTTCCAGCATAAAATGGCCACCTTCCACCACATGATTCATCGGATGCAGACTCTTCCACTTAGCGATACAGGAAAGGTTAAGTAATTACAGTACATCTTCGAAACAGCGAGACTCAACGGATACAAGGAAACCACAATCCAGGCAATCATCGATAAAAAAAAAGCGAGAATTCTACAAAGGAGATAATTTACAACCCTCACCGCAGCACCTGAACCCTTGAAATGAGTGTCCGTTCCATTTGATCAAGATATTACTTGTAAGCTAAGACCACAGTTAAAACAATTCGGATTAGATTAGACATAACCAGTTGATATCATTGTTAGGATCCACTAAAGACCCAGTTAATGTTTTAGGTAAATCAGGTGTATATAAATAAGCTGTAATCATTGTAAGGGACCATGCATAAATGACGTAGCATTTGAGGGGGGAGGTGAGGGTTTCAGAATTTGTGACCGGCCATGTATTGGATATAGCCAAATACGCTACGAGGGGGGGGGGAGGACTATAAAATTGATCAAAAATATGCTACGTCATTTTTGGATGCTCCCTAACAAAGTATACGTAGGACAAACCAAAATAACTTTAGCAACTAGATTTAAAGAACATATAGCGTAGGTTAATAAGGCCAAAAAGCAAGAGAAAAAAGGCCTAGCATATGATTTCAAATCAAAGGTTGCAGAACACATCTTCACAGAGGACCACCAACTATCGACGGAGGACAACACGATTTTACGAACCGTATCTACACCATGGAAACTGGATGTTGCAGAGAGCCTCGAGCAGAGTTGCGACCTATCACAATCACGATCGCCAAACAGCTGATGGTAGTAACGCTTTGTACATTCCTATCAATGTGCTCGTCGAAGCTCTCTCCATGACCATTTCTTCAAGTTGACGAAAGAAGTAAAAAGCAACTGGTGAATGTCGTCTTCTGTTGTGATCCATCACCGATCTGGTCATTCCTGACAATCACGACACTCATCTGTGCTCTGCTTGCTTATGTGAGTGTGTCGTGAGTGAGCCCAACAGCTTCCGTTTAATGTTGCCTGCTTTGTTTGTAACTCACACACTCGCGCCTGCCAAGTCGAACTTGGAATGCGTAGGCATTGTTTTCATTTTCTTCTGTCGTTTCGCTTTTTCTCATGATTGTACTGCAGAAATCTTCACTGTTTTCGTTGTGCTTTTCATTATCAGCAGCGAGTGTAAAGATTTGCTTGTGAGCAGCGACCATTACTGGTGATTGTTGTTTGCCATGGCTCTAACTCTCACTGCGTGACAAAACGATCTGTCAGCGATAGTCGGTTGATGCGAAGACGAGTGTCACGTGAGTATTATGATATTTTGCATCACTGGCCTCGAGATCAACAAACAACGGAGTTCAACTTTACTCAACAGGAATCAAGGAAACGGAAACACATGGCTTTTCAAGTTACTACCTAGGACGCATCAACGAGTAAGCAGCGGAGTATCTGCTGCTACAGGAAATTAAATTTAAGATTACCTAGCTTCTAAGTGAAAATGTACCTGGGTTAATATATATTCGGATATATACAAGACACTGAAGAAGTCTGCACAGTATGTAGACGAAATACGCTTATCTGTCAAGGATAAGCAAATAAGGTAGTGGAATTAAATAGAAATTACTAATCCTTATCTCTCTTTTTATACAGGTATTCCACTCAGACGCCCACGTTCATCAGGACTGTCTAACAGTTCTGGATGGAGGTGGGTCTTCTTCTTAACAGCCGTTTGGAGCTCGTACAACCTACGAATTTGTGCAACTTGGCTTATGCTATGCTAGGATTGTAGTTCATTGAACTGGCGATGCTTGCATGAAACTCATCCTACCACCGAGCTTCCTCTTCCGTTTTCCAAACTTGTTTTTCGGTTTCCTTGGTAACTCCAACAGCAGTTTGGCTCGATTACTCCAAACCTCAAACAGTTCCCGGGCCACCTGCATCGTATCTCCTTTCGCTTCCGTCGGATATCGTTTGTTGTCCGTACAGAATGGTAACTCCACCGTCTTAAAAATCTTATCCCTCACTTTGCCCTCATTCAAAGTGCCATTTCCCTCTAACGCCTTCACCATCTCCGTCAAGAACAATTTCCACCGGGGAAGGAAAAAGTCCTGTACCACACCGGCCCACTGCTTGTTGGCATAATCGACTATTTGTCCCTGCGGTCCCCAAAGGGTTATCTGATTGCGAGCGTTGTACTCGTACTTGTGTCGTTCGAGGCTTGTCTCCGCCAGAACTTTGGCCGATTCGAGCCATCGTCCAAGTAGGAAGTGTTTGTCAGTACGAAGCAACCGATCGATGTCTTCCAGAAGCGCCTGGAAAAGAATGGTCAAGTATTTTAGGGAGCCTAGGTTCCTAGATGTGTAGGCATTCATGATGTTAAGGTAAAGCCGATCGGCAGTGTTTTGTAGGAATTGACGAGTCAGATCAACGACATCGTTGTGAAACAAGGTACTGTTTAAGTTTGCATCCAGTAACATCAGTACTCCTTGGTTAAAGAGGCTCTCATTGTACCAGACCTGCAAAAGAAGGCCATTTTGTTGAGTCATTTCAAGTTTCCTGGCTAACGGTACTCACCCATGGATGGAGCCTCGTGCTTGGTCTCCGGTTGAATGTATACTTTCCACGCATCATTTCCAATTCATTGAAAGAGTAAACCGTGTATCGAAAAATGCTCCACGCTCGGAGCAATAGTTTGTCCTTGCTTCCATATCTAACGGAAGCATACGTCCGGAACCACCGCTCGACGTTATCAATATCTGGATTCCATCCCATCTCCAGTGCAAACTCATACAATCCATAGTTCTGATTGATCCCCTCCGGAGTTATACCGGTTCCAATCATAGTCATACTGTCATTTCCTCTCGTTTCACGAATTCTTTGAAAGACTAAATCCACCGATCCTAACATCCCCAGCGTTCCACCGAAGTTACTCAACATGCACCAAATGAACGGTTGCCCATGGTAGGACTCCGTTCGATCATACTGTGGAAACTGCTCTGACTGTAAGTCTAGCACTAATATTCTACCAATAGGAGCGGCCGTCAGGAAAGCTCGAATTGCTGAACCACTCCACAATGGGTTCTTCACAAACATCCATCCTTGCAGCAGCCAAACTGCCAACGGGTCGGCACTGGACATCGCCTTGTATATCCCAGCCGATGCACTATAAAGGTACTTGGAACTGAAACTTTGAGGTTGTATCTCATTGAACGGATCACTGAAGTAGATGTGATCAGTACCGTAACGATCGATTACTTTGCTGAGGAATCTGCGTCCTATTTCGAGGAAAAGCGGATCAGTTGGATCCAAAAACAAAGGACTGGCGTACTGTGAGGGGAAATCATTCCAAACCTCCACCGAAGTTAGCTTAGCTTGCGGGTACAACTGAGCAAACTGAACTGGTAGATGTCCCGCAAAAGCCGGCAGAGCTAAGGCCATTCCTAGATTTCGCATCTCCTGAACCATTTGCGTTTGAAGCTTCCGTGAGAAATTGATGAAATTCACTGTTAATGGTCCACCCCAACCGCGGATGTTTCCCATCCGCTGCCAAGCAAAGAATCCGGGTCCGGAAAGATGATTGTCGATATCGTGCTTAGTAAGATTGAATTCCTGATACACCTCACCCCACAGATCTTCCTGAAACGGTGCCAAGCTCAGGGTGATACCCTGCATGGCCATCCAGTCGATGTGATGGCGCCATTCGGTCCAGGTCCACCAACTGAATGAATACGACCAAGTACAAACGTTCTGGTAGTACACGATGCTGCAATCGATCAATCGAGCTTGGTCAAGCGATCATATCCCAAATCTAGTATCAGTTACCTGCTAGGAGCTTGTACTTCCACGTCAACCTGTGGTAAATCGTCCGGTACATTCAATTGATCCCCATCCCATGAAACATGACATCCACAGTAATACTTTAAATAGTGATAGAATCCTTTTGCCACAGCAACTCCACTCGATCCTGTAACAACTACCACTGCTGAGTCGTTCGTTTTTAGGATCTACAAAAAAAAAAAAACTCCTTTTTACCACCTTCTTGAGATTTTTACTCTCGCATCTACCTTAAACGTATTCAGCTTCAATCCGTTATCAACGAAGACCTTGAACTCGTGCGCTCGCTCCGGCAGGACACGTCCGATTAGTTCCGTGGCAGCCTGCTGTTGAACCTCCGGAGGAGTTTTCGTTTGTACATGCTTGAAAATGTGAGCGCTATGAGCATTTGGATCGGCCTCGATGACGATGGCCGAAAAAGCAAACACAAACAGTGCAATCTGCTGAACAAGCACCATAGCCTAGCGTGCGGCCAAGACGATCGCGAGTGTTGTATTCCCTTCAATTATCAGTAATAGACTGATTGTATTCGGTAAATTGTTGGTTCGTTTAAAGACGACTCAAGAGCCAGTTCTTCCCAATTATGCATGTAGCGTTCTGTGATTGTCTGGAGAAACTGAGTGATTATTTTTGTTTCAGATCTGCTTTGGGCTTGAATTACTGGCGGAAACTCTCATTGTTGCATTTACATTGTAACAGTAAAATAAATACTATAGAATTCTGGGCATCAACACATTTAAAAAAAAAAATATTATTGATCAAAGCAGAGCTTTGTATCGTCATCAATAGATTTTGGAATCTTCCATATTGAGCGGAATCTTTTGAATCTTGCTTATTAGTTTTTGAATGGACCTTCTCCGGTTTGTGTGAACCATTGCACAATTGTTTGTTTTGGTCAATCATTCACATTTGAGCTAAAATTCGGCCAAAAAAAAAATGCAAAATGGCATACGGGGGTAACGTTGACAGTTGTTTGAAGTATATTTTAATTATTTTTACAACAATTGTTTTTCAAATATATGTCGGCTCCATTTCCAAATTTGTCAATTTTGCTTTCAGAAGGTCACAAATAGCGATTAGCTGTAACGATAAGCAACGCGATGAGCGAGCAATCAGCGATCATAAAATCGCTAGTTGTGATCTTATGAAAGCAAAATTGACAAATTTAATGTGTCATACACAAACTTTACCACCTTTTCTTGCATCTTACATACAAAAATTATCATTATAGTATCTCATTGTTTCATAATTACGAAAAATAGCATTTTAGCTGTAATGAGCAATTGCAAGCCTGTCGCTAACAATCTGCTATTTATCAATTGTATATAGATTAACGCGTCATTGGGACGGTACTATTGGATATTTTCGGTTGCTATTGAAAATTTAATCGATTGCTGAATTTATGTATGGACCCAAATTAGGGACACTTAGGCCGACATTACATACATTTCCCCTACATCGACATAAACACCAGATTGAAATAAAGTCGATACATACATACATACATACATACATACATACATACATATGCCAAATATCCTGCACTTGATCTTACTCCATGAGGCTGCTGTATTTACACTAAAACAGACTAAATTATTCTCTATTTAAATGTTTCATTCATTAAACTTACCACATTAAATTTTCTCACAAAAGTAACCCGAATAGAAATTTACATTAGCCCAACGTTTGATTTTGATGTCTACATCAGCATCGAAATCAAATGTATTCTAATGTTTTCTTATGTAGATGTTTTCCGATGCTAGAACCAAACGTTATTTGGATGTTTTCGGATGTACACAACGTTAGAGCTAAACGTTGTTCGGATGTTTTCAATTGTACTTCCTGTTTGTTGTTCTCTGATGTTTTCAGATGTACAAAGCGTTTAAAGTTAACGTTGTTTGAATGTTTTCAAATGTAGATGTTTACTTATGTTTTAAGAAGTACAAACACTAGAATCTTACTTTTCAAATGCTTTCAATTATATTTACAACACATTAGAATTAGAAACATGATCGTGTAAACACTACACACGCTTGTTGTTAGATTACATCATAAAAATGCGTACATAACAGTCAATGCTGAAGCTCCCGTTTCCCACCAGGCAGTTAACTGACCTTAGCTAACCTAATATCATTGCGGCAACTCTCTATGCGGCAGGGGAACTATGCCATTAGCGCGCTACGAGTTGTTAGACCACTGACATAGGCGCCAATTTGTAGGTGACGAGGCACTTGGTGACATTACAGCGAGCTTGACGATTGTTGCAGCATTATTTTTTAACAAACTACCAGTTAAGGTGTGTAGTGTTTACAAGATCATGTTTCTAGCTCTAATGCTTTGTACAATTGAAAACATTGGAAAAGTTAATTCTCATGTTTTGCACAACCAAAACCATCAGAAAAAATAAAATTGTTCAAAAAAAATCATCCATTCTGGTAGACTATCTCTTAAATGCATACAGAATAGCCATTGCTTAAGCTCCCGTCTCCCACCAGTCAGTTAACTGACCTTAGCTAACCTAATGTCATTGCGGCAACTCTCTATGCGACAGGGGAACCACAGACAAACAGACGTAACTCTTCATTGTGTATCTTCGTTCACGCATTTACCGGTTGATTTGAATATTATCAGTTCCGCGAACTACTCGCCGCAGCGCTGGCATCGGATCACTTTGACGTTTCTATACATTCTATAGAACTTTTATGCAATATTGTTTGCGAGTTAGCGAGTAAGCTTGTTTTCCGCGAGAAGCCTGAAAGATGTCACTACTGAGGTCCTATGTTTTGAGATACTATGTTTTCAAGAAAAACTTTTTCAAAGAGTTACGTCTGTTTGTCTGTGGGGGAACTATGCCATTAGCGCGTTAAGAGTTATTAGACCACAGACATAGGCGCCTATTCGTGGGTGACGAGGCACTTGGTGACATTACAGCGAGCTTGGCGATTGTTATAGCATTTTTGAGTGAACTACCAGACAATCATGACAATAAGATCGCTGCGCCTCCAGATCTCCCTTTAAATCGACCCGCTGTGCCAATTTGTCAATAATGCATGACACTTTGGACGGGGTTGCTGGCTTGTTTGGTCCACTGTTCGGATATACAAGTGGCAAGCCTTTCCCTTCACGGATCGCTCCAAAAATTGCTGCCTGTTCCACAGATGATCCACAAATGCGGAAAGTTTTGGGCTACCAGTCTTCTACCTTATTGACGAACTGCAAATATATAATAAACAAAATTATTGTGCATGAAAAATATGACAATGGACAATGCTCGAGGAGCACTGGGAGTTTTCGAACGACGCGTGATAAGGACCATCCTTGGCAGGGTATATGAAAATGGTGTATGGAGGAGAAGAATGAACCACGAACTGGCGTAACTTTATGGCGAACCCAACATCCAGAAAGTCGCTAAAAGTGGAAGGGTACAATGGGCGGGACACGTTGTAAGAATGCCGGACAAAAATTCCGCAAAAATTGTGTTTTCCTCAAATCCGGCCGGTACAAGACGCAGAGAAGCACAGCGTGCTAAGTGGTTAGACCAAGTGGAGCAAGATGTAGGAAGTGTGGAATGCTCGAGAAATTGGAGACAAGCAGCCAGGGACCGAGTTAGTTGGTGCAACTTTGTTATACAGGTTAGGTTCCGAGGGACGTCGGACCAGCAAAAGTAAAGTAAGTATCTTATACGTTGGCTAAATGGTTATCCAAACTGCCTAAAAGTTCGAAGAAATAGTTATTAGATAGTACAGAATTCTAAATTGGCATTATTTATGAAAAATTTACGTTAGAATTCTTAAATCTCAATCTTTCCCTGATTGCGAACCACACTTTAAATTTTATATAAACTTGTGACCCATCTTGTGTACCATCATAAGGCTTGATGAAACTTATTCCGCCCGGAAACATGTTTTTTTTTTCGAAATTATGAAGTCATTATACGTTATGATGACATTTTGTATTTTTAAGTTACAAGAGGACGTTGCAAAGGATGAGTTTGACGTATGAAACCTGTGCATTTAGTTTTCAGAGAGTCGCAATCAGCGAATTCATTAAATCGCTTATGGCTGTAAGCTCCAATCGGTATTATCCTCGGATTAAATCCCGATCAAGAATATCCGGCTGCTTTGATGTCGACATCAGAGTCATTCAACACGATGCTATGTAAACAATTCGCAGATCATCCAAACAGGGACGGTATTAAAAGTTAATCCGAGTTGGAGCTTACAGCCATTATTGCGGCTCTCTGAATCCAATATTAATAGGTTGAAAAAAAATGGTTTTAAAATGGAACCTAAATCAAAAATTTCATAAATTTTGGTTCACATGAACTATGATAAATCAGTGCGATTACATTTGCAAACATTAAATATTTTGTTGTTAATTAATACAGAATATTTATTTATATTTAAAATTAAAAATTATTTAAACATACATATCATTTTTTTATTATTACGGCGCTTTAGATTAGCGATGGCGGTTTATTCTGTTGTGGGAGGGCTTGGGTTCAAACCCATGATTTTCTGCTCGGTAAGCAAAAACGATCCCTCCAGGGTCATCGAGCATCTTAAAACCACAACATTCCACGACAATATATGATTATGTTTTAACTTGGCATGTAATGAACAACAGAGATACGCGATAATTCGTATAGTTTCTGCGATTGATGGTTAATTAATTTACGACGTATTCGGGGTATCATCCAAACCATTTGTGGGATAGTTTACCCATCCGGGATACAGTTCGTTTATGGTATTTGTTTATATAGGGACTGGCAACAGCGACAACAGCGAATTTGGAACTTACCATTTGTCTATGATATAACAACTTAACTGGATCGTCATGTTCACCATCTGTCACTGTCTGCAAAAATATTTAATAGCAATTACCTGTGTTGTCCTTCAATGAAAACAAATTTTCTTGCATTGCCATGGTCATCTGCGATGAGGGTGGTCCACTGATCATTCGGAATGAGCTTTCCGCACATCATTGAATCAATTTAGATATCAATGTACATAGATGGTGTCATATGCAAAGTGCGAAAAGAGAATGAAGGAAATACATACGAAAAAGATTAGCTACAAGAAGTGACAGTTTCATCGGATTAGTCACCAAGTCTCCCCCACCACTGCTATCTGCAGCCCTATGTAAGCTATGTAAGCATGTAAGCTATGTAAGCATATGTATACTTTCCAAAAACTTCAAAATTTTATTTAATCTTATGAAGTTTTTAAATTTTGTTCTCGATGTTTTCAACCAGTATCTATTCCAAATTAAACAAAATTCCCCCATGCAATGTATGCTTATCGACACAAATAATAATGCAGGGTATATTCTGATATAATCAAACCCAACTCAAGCTGATACCAGTGAGAAGCTATAATATCCCCCTACCAGATACAGATAGTTGCATAACAATCCGAACTCCCACTATACACTCAGGTCTTTTTTTACACAGGGGATACGTACCGTGTAAAAAAAACCGTGTAAAAA